GCAGATCTTAATAAGCGAGAATCCAAGATCGTTCTCACATTTCATCACAAATGTTTGCGCCATAATCGGTGGCGTTTTCACGGTAATACTATTCTCACATTTCAACACAAATTTTTCTCCTAGCTTTGTTTCATTCTCTTCTGGATTCCATTTTGTCAAAGTAAGATTTTTGCAGGTCGCGGGGATACTAGATTCGATATTTCAAAACACAGTCAGAATGGTGAAAAAGATCGAACTCGGGAAAAATATTTGATCTGGAATATGAGTGAGAGGTTAGCTGTTAGTTTTTCATATTCATTAAGATCTACTACAAAGCCATAGAAAGAAAGAAAAAAACCTCAATTCTTACATACTTTTTAGACTGTTTGTTTTTGATTAACAGTTTCAAAGATAGAATAAAAGAACAATTCTCATTGCAAGATCTTTATTACTTCTTGATTCTTGGTCTATACTTTATCCCCAGTGTTTCGGTATCCTTCATATTTATTCTCTTATGGTTATATGAATTGTATATATTTCATTTACATTCAAAACAAACAACACCATGCACACACATACACCAATTTACCAACTTAGATGGTAAGAGAAAGAAACAAAGTACCAACAAAAGCAAAAGGCAAAACAGAGGAAGAAGAACGCAAAGTTGTGTTTCCGGGAGTCCCTTCCGAAGGCCCTGGGGTTATTTCAAAAGTCCCTGTGTAAGGAGGAGAAGGTGAAGATGGTGATGAAGCTGGGATTGTAGTGTTGCTGTTGCTTCTATCAGCCATTACAATTATGACAAGCTTCGGGTTCTTGTGACAATTATCTTTGCTTCCACTGATGAAATAGTATGGTCGAGACCGGTTAAGCGTGAAGGAAGTGTGTCCATCTGTGAATTTAGCGGTAGCTGCATCTTTGTTGTAACTATCGTAAGCGTCTCTTGTCACTTGAAACACTGAGTTTTGGTTCGGTTAGTAGACGAACACTGCATTGTCCATAACCATGACTCCATAAGATATATGTATCGTAAATCGAGTAGATTGGGTTTATTAGAAACTTACGCAGAGAGTCTTTGATTTGGAATCTGCTTTGCTCTGCCCATTGATTCTATAGTTGATGATCTGATGGCACGGTCCAACCCTTTGATCCTCCTACCACAAACTATCTGGCTCAGACCATGTGAACGATCACGAGAATACAAACGAGAAAACCGAACACCATGAAGCATCTTTGTTCTGTTTTGGTCTCTTAAGCTTTTTGAGGATTGTATATATGTGTGTTTGAGAAAACATGGTTTATATAAAGGCAAGGCTTTTAAGCAACCTTTCTTCAGATTCTCTTAACTTCTTTTGATTTTCTTGAGAACAAAAGCAAAGCATAATTGTTTGGAATCTCTTGTGATTTTACTTGTGTGAATAGTTTTTGTTTCTTTACCTTGATCATCATCATAATACTTTTTGGGTTTACCAGAGAATATACATTCAGTTACTTTATATGTTAATCATATTACAAAGATCTTTCCAACGGAATAACGAATCTTGTTATGTTAAATAGTACCTCAAAGAATCTATCATTAGTGTAAGAGTTTCAATTACCGCAAACACAAGGCTTATAGCTTGAGCTCTTCTCGGTTCAAACTTGATCTTGAACTTAGGGTGCTTCTTGCATTTGACTTCCTGCTCAAGAAATCACTAACATTACGTATCATACACGCGATTAGTCCCTAAGAGGTGAAAAATAAATAAAACCAAATTAATTTACACTTATTGGAAAAACAGATTATCATTACAGATTATTAATTTACACTGTTTTTTTTTTCCAAGGTTGCACTCGTAACATTACCTAATTACAACAGCTACTTTGGCAACACTCATTTTTTTTATCCATCCCCTTTGAGAAATTTTGATAATTTATTGATTTACATAGAAACGGATCTC